CTGAGTACCTAAGCACCTGAGCAGGACTAGGACAGAGGCAAGCAGAGACAGGAGGACGCCTGCCTCAGACCCGAGGGAGGGCCAGCAGGCCAGACCCAAGGGAGGTGGGGACAAGGAAGAATCAGGAAGACTTTTCTGAAAAGGATGAAGGGGAGGTTGGGAAGGGCTTCCAGTCTGAGGGTGCCATAGTGTCCAAAGACAGAGGCCGGAGGCACATGGCTTATTGGATGGGCCACCAGGGCTTCTGAGGAGGGGAGGGAACAGGGGAGGAGAGCAGTGAAGAGGCCTGAGACTGGGAGAGGGGGCAGGGGTTGTGCCAGGAGAACCCTAATTTCCCTAGGGAGCTTGGATTCTAGTTTGTTCACGGTGGGAGGCTAGGGAGCAATGCCATAACCAGGAGCTCTCTGAGAGCAGTCATGTTGCTGCATGGAAGGGGACAATTGGGAGGAGCCCCTCAGGAGGTGCAGGGAGGCAGGGAATGGGTGATAGTGATGGGGGACTGGAGAAACATCAGAGGTCAGCGCTGACGGACTTGTCATCGCCTCAGACCACAGTCGTAGCGGGATGTGAGGTGGGGCACAGAGAGCGTGGGCTTTGAAGCTAGGCAAATGAGGAGTCAACCACAGACCTACCATCTGCTGGGCGTGGGACGTGGGTAAACTAATAAGCCTCTTTGAACCTGTTTTCTTATCTGTACCGCTGGATTAATAACTCTGCAGGGGAGAGAAAACTAAATGGGAAAATGTCTATACATAGGAATAGTGTAAACAAGTTGGTATTATTCTGTGGAGGAATAAAAGGCAGACTTCTCAAAAGCACGAGGGATGGAGACCCAGGGATTTATCTTCTCCCCTCCAGACACACGAGTCAGTTGTTGGGCAACAGGGCCAGCAGGATCATCTCCAAGCAGGACATCGGCTTGTGGGGAGTACAGACTGGGTTAGCAGGAGCACATGTGGAGAGGGGCCTCCGAGGAAGCTGAGGCAGTCAGTGCTGGGGTTTCTTTGCATATGTTTGCTCTGGGTACAGAGAGGACCCTGTGTAGTCAAAGGTGGCAGTGAGGTCTTGCCAAGCATGCCAGCGTGTCACACATCAGCACATTGGGAGCCCACAGAAGTGCCAAGGCCGAGAAACCTCTTTAAGACCACTGTTGTGGAGGGTGGAGGAGGAGAGGAAGAAGGAGAAGGAGTGCTCTGATGGAGGAGCAGGAGCAGGAGGGGCTTGCAGAGGAGACGCTCCGGGTGGTGTGTGTGTGGTGGGGGTGGGTGGTGTTCCTGGTCCTCCAGGTGCTGCCCGGCCCCTATCAGCCAGGGGTGAACCCCTGCGGGATAAGCCTGTGTGGTACCAACAATCCAAGCTACACCTGTGACACAAGACACTGCTGTGGCTCTGGCTGGTGTGGACCACCATCATCATCCTCCTGAGCTGCTGCTTCGTCTGCTGCCACTGCTGAGCCAAGCGCTGCCTTCAGGTCAGGCAGTGGCAACAAGAAATCAACCCCATCACCTGTAGGAAGCCTAGGATTACTCAGCACTGCCATTTTATCTTCAGTTTTGTGCCAAAGTATTTACTACCTTGTCATGAGGGAGTGGTTTCCCGACCTCCAATTCTTCCCCATAGAGTGACTTCCAGTTATTGCATGTAGCCCTTAAGGTGGCAGTGCCCCTGGGACTCCCAGGGGGCACAGAGCAGCCCCTAGTCTGGGTCCAGCAGAAGCAGCACGAGACCCCCACGCATTGTTGACCCTGGGGCCTCTGACACCAGCTGACCCAGCAGCCACCAAAGACCTGGGAACGGAGCCCCAGTGTCTCTGTGGCCAGCCTGGGGGAGCTGGACTGAGGAGCCTTCCTGTGCAAGGATTTAGAATATACAGAGAAGCCGCTGAATGATTATAGCTCTGAGCATGACAGTATCCCCTCCCCTCCCTACCCCCTTCCCCCCAAGCAAAGAGAAGATACCATGTGTACAACTGGGGCCAACATGACGATGGCCCCAAAGCATTCAACATGCTCATCAGTGATGCTCTGGATGGCCCCCTGGACGTCCATGACAGTTGACCTGTGCAGTCTCCTGGTGATAAGGAGGAAGGCCCCTGCCAGTCCTGCAAGGAACAAGCTTGAGAGTCTGGGCATCTGCACCTGCCACGGCCCCCAGTCCCTGCTGCTGAGCACTGTGGATGAACAGGACTCTCCCAACCCCTAGAGCAGCAGCTCCCAGCCAGAGACGGCCCTGTCTGCACCCAAGACCTTGGCAAAGCAACCAGGGCCGGAAAGAACCAGAAGAGAAGCTTTCAATGACTTTTAGCCATTTTGTCCCCACTTTTTTCTCTTCTCCTCTCCTGCATTTTTCTCCATCTCCAGGTACAGTTCAGGATGTGGATGCCTGTCCCCACACAAAAACACTTGGGATCCATTCCTGATACCCCATTTCATCCCGATTTCCCCCCCTTTAAAGTCAGATTCACCTACCTGTTGGGTCAGAGAGATGTGTGTTTTAAAATCCCCGAGGAAGGAGGCAGGGACTGTGCCCTCAGAGGATTATTGGTGAAGTGGATTTAAGCTTCATTTCAGTTTAAGAGAATGTTGCTGTGTCTCTGCCTAGGGCAGGCAGCCCATTGTGGCCCTGGGTGATGAGGGAAGCCCACAGAGGCCCAGGATTTGTGACCTGTGGCTGCCAGTGTCTGCAGAGTCAGAATTGAGCTAATCTCATGCAAGGATGGGCGCTGATGGGCAGTTGTATGGTCGGTTGCTATCGGGCTTCTTGATCTCTCAAATTCCAGGTGACAAGATCAATGAATGCTTTACCGGCCCCTTCCCAGCAGGCTCTGGGGGCTACAAACTGGTTCAGGTGTGGAATGTCATAGTACTTTACCTTTGGTTTTTCTTTGAAAAATAAACAACGAAAGACAAATGAAAACAAGAATTCTACCAGTGTTCAGGCAAGAATTCTCTTTGGGAAAAGGGATGTTTGTGGCTTTTCCCCACATTGGCATTCAAAAGCTTGGCTGCAGAGTGGCTATTATTAAAATGTCCAAAAAATAGAAGATGCTGGTTAGGCTGCAGAGGAAAGGGAACGCTTATACACTGTTGGCCGGAGTATAAATTAGTTCATGGAAAAATTAATGCAGAAAGCAGTTTGGAGATTCCTGAAATCATTTAAATCAGAACTATGATTCCACCCAGCAATTCCTTTACTGGGCATTTACCCAAAGGAATATAATTGGTCTGCCAAAAAGACACATGCTCTTACATGTCCATCACAGCACTATTCTCAGTAGCAAAGTCATGGAATGAACCTAGGTGTCCATCAGAGGTAGACTGGATAAAGGAAATGTGGTACATATACACCATGGAATATTATACAGCCAAGAAAAGAATGAAAATATGTCCTTTGCAACAACATAGATGGAGCTGGAGACCATAATCCTAAGCAAATTAACATAGGAATGGAAAACCAAATATCATGTTCTCGTGTTTAAGTGGGAGCTGAGCACATGGATATAAAGATGGGAACAGTAGACAATACAACTGGTCGAGGGAAGAGAGAAGGAAGGTGGAAAGGGCTGAAAAACTACCTATGGGGTACTATGCTCACTGCCTGAGTGATGAGATCATTTGTGCCCCAAACCTCAGCATCACAGAATATACCCATGTAACAAACCTGAACATGTAGCCCCTGAATCTAAAATAAAAGTTGAAATTATTTTTTAAAAATGGAGCCTGGGTCAGGAGCGGTAGCTCACACCTGTAATCCCAGCACTTTGGATCACTTGAGGTCAGGAGTTCAAAACCAGCCTGGCCAACATGGCGAAACCCTGTCTCTACTAAAAATGCATTGGAGGCCTGTGCTGTGTTCCCTGTAACAGGAAATGTGCTCTGAACTTGTCTGTCTCCCTTGGCTGCTCTTGGCCCTTGGTACCAGCTCCCATGGGTGTCCACAACCACTTGGGACAGAAGGTGAAGGTGGAATTTCAAAGAGAAACTTGCTTGGATCTTCAGTCACAAGCTTGAGTGGATGAGCTACAGCCCCAACATGGGCCCTCTCAGAATTGCCAGGAGGAGGCTTTGGCCGGTACCACAGGTGCCACAGAGCCTGCCTCCCTCTGCTGTGTCCAGTGGGTGCAAGTCAGCCAACATGTGGCCAGAATGGCTGGATGGTGTCACAGCCCTCAGGTGTCTTTCCTTACATCTTTTTTAAGGAGTCCCAAATAACTCCCTTGAAGTGTCTCAAAGGCGAGCAAGTTTTATGAAAATGAATCCTTCCTCAGTTAATTGACCAAATGGGTGAATCCTGACCCTCTCCAGTTTCTTTCCCTGGTCGTAGTGGGGAGCTGGTGGTAGCTGTGGGACTCACTGTGGTGTCCTACCCCAAAGGCAAAGAAGATGAAAATAAAGCGTGCAGAGCTGGGCTTGATTCCCAAGTCGCAGTCTGGCTCCCGCTATGGTAGAGGGGACATCTCTCTAGCTGTTCACAGAGATGGAACTAGGGAATTGAGGGAAGAGTTAGGGGTCCAGGGAGACTTGCTTGAGTCTGATTTTCCAGGTGAATGAGAAGGGAGGGCTTGGTGCCAACACATTCCTGGGAGAGTCACACCATCACCAACGGCATTTGTCATTATTGTTGTATGTTAGCAATAAGATTCAACTGGTCAGATTTTTTGGGCTCCTTCAAAAATGCTGACACATTTTCTGTGCTGTGATTGTTCTGAAGGCAGAGTAGCTCCAACCAGTGTGAGAACCCAAATAAAAATCAATGCCGCCCGCCAAAGATCACCGTTCTGAAACTCACTTTTATCTGGAACAGCGTCCCCCTTTCTCCCAAGGTTCTTCTTATTTTTGGATTCCATCTCTTTATATGTGCTAATCTAGTGTAACATGGAACACATTTTGGGAGCTGGGGGCTCTGCTTACATTTAAGGGGGACAGCCCTGTCTGGCCTGAGATTGGAGGTTGCTTTCCAGTGTGAAGGAGTGTGAGGCAGCAGGCACAGGCACAGACACAGTGAGAGCAGGGTCATTTTATTGGTACAGAGATTGCAGAGGGACTGGGGGCTTTAGCTGTTGGCAGCTATGGTGTCCTTAATCCAGTCCACATAGTTGTAGACCTTGGTGTAGACTCCAGGCCTGTTCTTCTGGGCACAGCCATAGCCCCAGGAGACAATTCCTTGGAGCTGTCCATTGGAGACCACAGGGCCACCAGAGTCACCCTGGGGAGAAGAAGGGAGAAGTTGTATGAAGAGAGAGATAGAGGAAGAAAATAGCTACATTTACTCTGAACCTTAAAAGACCCCTTTCCAGCCAGCGCTGTGGCTCCATGTCCTTCTCACAGTGGCCCATTCTCTGTTCTTCATAAGCAGACAATAGGCCGCCTAAGGGAACTGTTCTCACATCTCCATGGGGGCACTGCAGGGAGCCTCCTCAGCCCCGCCACACTGGGAGTTCAAATATTTTTCCCGGGTGGGGTCTGGGTATCAGTGGGAGCCTCAGCATGGGAAGGGCTGTTCAAATCACCTGGCAGGAATCCTTGCCTCCCTCAAGGAAGCCCACACAGAACATGTTGCTGGTAATCCTTCCAGGGTAGGAGGCTTCACACGCAGCCTGGGACAGCACAGGCGCTTCCAGGCACTGCAACTCATCTGGGTAGTCGGCTGTGAGGATCAGGAGGCGATCAAAGAAAGTAGAAATGTGGGTCAGGCTACATTTCTGACCCAAGACCCAAGGAGAAAATAATCTAGGATGGAACATTGAAGAGGAACACTGCTCCTGGAAAGAACTCCAAAACATAAGTCCTGGCAGGGGACTCTGGCTTTTAGTTCCCAGAATGATCATTGTTCAACCCGTCCCAAGACGTGATTATAACAAGTTCTCCATTTGTCCTGTCTTTTGATTTTAGAAGCTAGGTTTTGGAGACTTTGCATCTCTCTGATGTCCAGTCCAGAGCTTGTGTGTAATGGACATGAGAAATATGTCTTAAGCCTGGAGGCCAGAGGTTTTAAGTTAAGGGGCATGGTTTATTCTGGAAATTGTGAGGATGAAGGGAAGTAGAAGGACAAAGGGTGCCACTCACCGCCAGAGCTTAGAGTGTTGCCCCAGCCAGAGATGAGGGCCTCGGCGCCAGCAGCTGGAGGGGCGGTGGGCAGAGAGATGGTGGACACGCGGGCATTGATGACGGCAGGTGAGGAGAGCTTGATCAGCAGGATGTCATTGTCCAGAGTCCTCGAGTTGTAATTGGGGTGGCGGATGATCTTGGCTGCATTGATGAACTGCTCAGTCCCCTCCAGGACTTCTATGTTGTGCTCTCCCAGTCTCACCTGGATGCGGCTGATGGACAGGGAAGGCATGGTGAAGACCTTCTCTCACAGCCAGGGCACCCGTCCCACCTTCCCCAGGGTCCTTAAGCTCCCTGCTCATGACAGCTCTGGAGGGATCGGGTGGGCTGTGTGGCCATATCACATGGGCAGTAGAGGGATGTGGGTCAGTGCAGGTGTGAGACCCAGGACCTTTCTGCTTCAGAGGTTGGTGGTAGTGGGGTTGGGAAGAGTCAAAGGGATCCCACCGGAGGCTGCTCCTCAACCAGCCTTCCCAGTCTCTTTCCCACAATCTCCACAGTCACTAGCACTGTGGGCACATGGAGCTCCTTGTAGTTTTCCCAGCATTCTTCACCCCAGGTCTTTGCTAACTGTGCACAGTGCCTGTTCCTCCCTCTTTCTTGGCCTGGTGAGCACCACCCTTCTGTGTAATCTAATCCAAGGGTAGCCATAGCATTAGCATCTCCTGGGAACTTGTTAGAAATGTAAATCCTTGGGCCTTACCCCCACCTACTGATCAGAACCTTGGGGATGGGACCCAGTGATTTGTGCCTTAACAAGCCTGCAGGTGGTTCTGGTGCATACTCAGGTTTGAAAGTTCTTGGTGTAGGCAGCGGTTCTCAGCTCTGTCTATATACTCTACAGTTACCAGATGTAGAGTGTTAAATACTCACTGATATTCACACCCTCTTCCTGAAAATTTTGAGTTAATTGCCCTGGGATAGGACACAGGCATCAGTATTTTTAAAAACTCTTTCTTAGGTGGCTTTAATGTATAGCTAACCAGCAAAAGGTACTTGCCTGCTTTTCTCACTAGCTCTAACCACCTCAAGATCATCCCTGCCTACTTTTATGACCACAACCCTTGCTGTTTCATGGATTTGCCTGGGTGTGAGAGGTTCCTGTCTTGTGTTCACTCTCTGCTCTGTGGAGTCAGCTGCTGCCAAAAAGTTTTCTTCTCCACCACCTCTCCCCTCCATCTTACCAAACCTCAGTACTTCCGTGGGCTGAAGCCAAGTTCTCCCAGGCAACCTGGCTGGGAGCTTTGCCATCAGGGACCCCACACTTACGTCTTGTAGCAGTGAGCTGCTGACACCACCCACTGTTTGCTGATGAGGGAACCACCACAGAAGTGGTAGCCAGAATTCAGAGACACCTGGTAGGGGACAGAATTCTCCTCACAGGTGTAGCCCCCAACAATCTTGTCATCATCGTCAATGGGGGCAGCAACTGGAGTGGAGATGGGAAGGGAGAAGGCAAGTCAGTAGCATGTTAAGGGTGGTGCTCCCAGCCTGCGATTGCTTTCTGCTAATTGGAAATCGTTAACAAGCACAGTGAGGCTAGGCAAGGGAGTGAGCGCTGCCACTCCTGGTGAGCATCACTGGATGTGGCTCCCAAGTCTCTGTGTCTGCAGGGCACATAGCTAGGTACCCGGTGGGGGCTCAGACCTCTCCTGGGTCACCAGGCTGAGGTCACAAGGAATGTCCTCACAATGCTTTCAGTGGGGTAGGAGTTGGGATGTGTCTGTCTCACCCACTGAGTGCTTCCCTCTTTCATTCACCACCTGTGTACTCTACCTGGCCGTTTAAGCCCTGGATGGTCAGGATACTTTAGCCAAGCTAGGAAAACCCCTGGCTGTGTAGACCTGGCCATGACCAGCTTCCCCCTCAGCTCAGATCTGTGTAGTGAGGGCAGAGTTGAGGGCAGCCCCTGGCTCACTTCGGCAGAACAAATGTAGACGTTATTATTGGCCAAAAGAACAGCAATTCTTAACCTTGGCTGCATGCTTAGAAATGTTAAAAATCACCTGGGAAGCTTAAAAGCCCAGAACACAGGCTGCACCCCAGACAAATGAAGTGAGAATTTCTAGAGTTGAGTCTCTGGCACGAGTATTTTTCCACCTCCCCAGGTGCATTCGAGGTTAAGAGCAGCTACAGTGGAGGTATTCTGGTGCTGTGGGAGCCAAGCCTGAAGCCTGCTGCTTCATTTTGTGGGCCAGCCCCCACTGGTCTCCTTTCCCAGCATCTCCAACCACAGCTCGTATATGGATGAATGACAGTTCTGGGAGTGAAATCAGGGAGAAGGTGAAACAGGTGAAGCTTAAAAAAAGCCCAAGGAGGATGGGAAGTAGAGATGCCAGATGGAGGAAATAGAACATCAGAGCACAGTCGAAAGAGGAGAGGTGGCAAGAATGGCAGGGCATGCGTCTGCCAGGAAAGGGGTGGTCGGGGTCTGAGGCAGGGCATGAAACTCACCAGCAACTCCCACAAAGGTAAGGATCAGGAGTGGATTCATGGTGGTAGAATGTGCCTGACTGGTGGTGGAGGACCCGTCTTTATACCTCCCGAGGATTGGGAGAGGAAGTGTCTGTGAGGTGAGGGTCACTGCTCCTCCCAGCACAAACACACCTGCAGCTTTCCCCTTCCCAGGGTCTTGCATCAGCTCGGCTATGTTTGGCCACTCTGTGGGTTTGTGATTCAGAGGTAATAAGGAAACTTGTCATCTGAGAGCAGAGAGGGAGACCGGCTATTTCCTGGAAGAATGCTGGGATGGGGAAGACAGGGAAAGCGAAGCCCTGGATCACACAGCTGGGCTTTCTTAGGCTGAGGAAATGAGGGTTAGAAGGAAGGAGAATGACCTGGCTGTTTAGAAATCCTTTTAACTATTGGGAATGTATTTAATGTACTTAAGGAAAGGCAAGCGTTGGTAACAAGCTTGGCTTTTCTGTGTCTTGGGGCTGCCATGATAGGAGAAAAGTCTTATTTAAGGCTCATTCTGTGAATATGAAGATGCTTCTCTCCAGTCAGTGTGCGGGAAGGTCAAATCCAAGGCTTTGGGGAAAGAGAATTCCAACACTAAGGGGTAAGAAGAAGGGAGACTCAGCATTCCATAGGATTCTGGGCTTCCAGATGGCTCTCCTTCCTACCAAGGCTTAAGGATGGGAAGTGTTTCAACGAAGAAGGGGGCACAGGTTAGTTAGGAGCTTAGTGCATCTGGAGGATGGAAAACCAGTGGCGCATTCCTCCCCTTCTTCAATGTGAAGACATTTGTCTGTCTCATATGCATCCTGTCATAGGTTCTTTTTATGCAGCCTCACGGTTGCTCTGGTGACCTGCACTCAGGGTGATGCAAACTGACCCACCCTCTCAGGGCTGACAGTCTGAACCAGAATGACATGCCCCCGATCAGATGTCAGAGTTTGGACCATGGTAAATATGGGTTATGTTCTGATCTGAGAATCAGCAGTAGGTAGAGATTTAAGCACATGGTAAATGGGTCACATATTGGATTCAGTAACGAAGATGTGCAGGGGTGGGTCTAGAATTCTCTATTTTAGATGCAGTGAGATTATGCTGGACTCAGTACAAAGTGAATCTTCTCAGAGAATATCCTGATTTGGGCCCTACCAAGGCTACTAAGACACAGTTGTGTAATTGACTGAGGCATAACATGGCCAGAGCAGTGTGGAGATGGAGATGCTGTCTGCGCTCAGGTCTAATGATGAAAGGAGGAGCTTCCTTATGAGGGTGCTTTCCCTTCTCAGTAACTCTGAGCTCTGGTTGGTGATGGGCAGGAGTGAGCAGAGTTCAAGTTTGAATTTGAAAGGTAAAGGAAAAAGGTATGTTCTGGAAACGGCGAAGAAAATGAGAAAAGCTCAGAAATTTGGTGGTGAAATTGGACATGGCCAGTGGCTAGAGGGAGGAAGCAAATGGAAACCAGACAGAATTGGAAAAAAAATGCCAAAATGGGGCCCGTGGAGTTGAGCGGACACACAGAGAACCTCCGGGTTTAGCTCCTGGCATGGCCGCCGAGCCACCTTCCCCACAGCCAGGAGACCCACTGCTCAGAGAACCCCTCTCCACCCTGTACCCCCTCTAATCACTGATGGGCTCATACCTAACACTGCTATACTTAGATGGTGCATGGTGCCTGACTACTTTACAAGAGTTTTCACATAAGCAACAGTGGTACATTACTTTTCATTTATGCTGAGTTTCACATTTAACTTTCCACAAACATGCTAATTGTGATTTGTGCAGAGCAGAGTTATTTCCATTTATAGAGGAGGACAATAAGATTCAGAAGGATTCTGTCTTGCCCAAGAATACAGATCTTGGCAGAGCCGACCATAAGGCCAACGGAAGTCATGGAGAGCGTTGTGAAATGTGGGAATTGCTGCAGGTGGCATCTAAAAGGAGATTTATTGAGGATCACGGCACAGGTGCCCAGAGGACAATCTGTATGTCTGATTCCTTCCTGCTGCTTTTCTTCTTGGTAGAAATAGATGATTGAATTCATCTTTCTCCTGGCAGCTTGTCTCAGAGCCTTACCTTGCCACAGTTCCAGACCCATCCAGGCCATGACTGCCATGTAGATGATACACCTCTCTGGTCAGGCATAACTGGCCAAGCCTGAGGTAGCCAGGTTTTGGAGCATTGATAATATGGGCTTTTCCTGTGTTGTCCGTAAACATGTTGTTTCATTTTTTCCCCTTGTCATGGGATCGTCACAGAACTCCTCCCTTAGAGAATAAGGAGAGACTCTTGCTCTAGGAAGTGTAGACACCAGTGTGCAATAAACAGGGAGGTGAACCTTGGCAGAAGATGGAAAATTTGTTTGGAAAAGGGGATTTTTGGATCAGTGCTTGTGGCTCTGACTCTCTGTCTGATAGGGAACACCCAAGAATATGAGGATTTCTGTATCTAGAGCTTGAAGACTAGCCTTCTCCAGTATTTTGTGTTCCTCCTTAAATGATCACAGTATAGTCTGAGGTCATCTTTCTTCAAAAAGCAATGACTCTACAGGCAGAGAACATAGCTATACGTGGAGACTGTTACCTCATACTGTAGACTCGGATGTGTAGGATAGGCTCAGATCTAGCTGCTCAAGCTCAATTTAGAGGACATGTCATTCTTCGTACTCTTCATTCTGAACTATAGATTTTTTTGTCTACTTCTCTAAGACATCTTTCTGTCTTGTGTTTCGTGCTTAGCACACCAAACCACTGTCCTTCAATTATGGTAACAGTGAATCATTTATATGTGCTTACTATATATCATGTAACTTACTATACAGCATGTAACTCATATAAGTTAAGAATTTTTTTTCATTTTATCATCACAACCATCTTGGGATTTTACATTTTACAGATGATGAAATGATCATTTTACAGATGATCAAATGAGCTTTCTGGAGGTGAAGTGACTCTCCCATCTCCCAGAGCAGCAGCTCCCAGCCAGAGCTGGCCCTGTCTGCACCCAAGACCTTGGCACAGCAATCAGAGCCGGAAAGAACCACGAGAGAAGCTTTCAAGGACTCTCAGCCACTTTGTCCCCATTTTTTTTCTTCTCCTTTCCTGCATTTTTCTCCATCTCCAGATACAGGTCGGGATGCCTGTCCCCACACAAAAACACTTGGGATTCATTCCTGATACCCCAATTCATCCTGATTTTCCCCTCTTTAAAGTCAGATCTCACCTACCTGTTTGGTCAGAGAGATGAGTGTTTTAAAATCCCCAAGGACGGAGGCAGGGACTGTGCCCTCAGATGATTATCGGTGAAGGGAATTTATGCTTAATTTCAGTTTAGGAAAATGCTGCTGTGTCTCTGCCCAGGACAGGCAGCCCCTTGTGACCCTGGGTGAGGAGGGAAGCCCACAGAGACCCAGGGTTTGTGACCTTGGCTGCCAGTGTCTGCAGAGCCAGAATTGCGCTCATCCCTTGAAAGGATGGGTGCTGATGGGCAGTTGTATGGTCGGTTGCTATGGGGCTTGTTGATCTCTCAGATTCCAGGTGAGAAGATCAATGCATGCTTGACCGGCCCCTTCCCAGCAGGCTCTGGTGGCTACAAACTGGTTCAGGTGTGGAAGGTCATACCACTTTACCTTTGGTTTTTCTTTGAAAACCAAACAACGAAAGACAGATGAATTCAAGAACTCTACAAGTGGTCAGGCAAGAATTCTCTTCGGGAAAAGGGAGGTTTGTGGCTCTTCCCCACATTGGCCTTGAAAGGGCCTGGCAGCCAAGTGGCTTTTATTAAAATGTCTAAAAAATAGAAGATGCTGGTGAGACTGCAGAGGAAAGGCAATGCTAATACACTGTTGGGCCGAGTGTAAATTAGTTCATGGAAAAATTAATGCAGAAAGCAGTTTGGAGATTTCTGAAATAATTTAAAACAGAACTAACATTCCACCCAGCAATTCCTTGACTGGGCATATACCCACAGGAAAATAATTGCTCGGCCAAAAAAACACATGCTCTTACATGTCCATCACAGCACTATTCTCAGTAGCAAATCCATGGAATGAAGTTAGGTGTCCATAAGCGGTAGACTGGATAAAAGAAATATGGTACATATATACCATGGAATACTATGCAGCCACGAAAAGAATGAAAGCTTGTCCTTTGAAGCAACATGGATGGAGCTGGAGATCATAATCGTAAGCAAATTAACATAGGAACTGAAAGCCAAAAACCACATTCTCATGTATGAGTTTGAGCTGAAAATTGGGTACACATGGATATAAAGACAGGAACAGTAGACAATACATCTGGTAGAGGGAAGAGAGAGGGAGGGTGGAAAGGGTGAAAAACTACCTATTGGGTGCTATGCTCGGTCTCTGCGTGATGAGATCATTTGTGCCCCAAACCTCAGCATCACACAATATATTCATGTAACAAACCTGTACATGTAGCTCCTGAATCTAAAATAAAAGTTGAAATTATTTTTTAAAAAATGGGGCCTGTGCAGGAAGTGGTGGCTCACACCTGCAATCCCAACACTTTGGATCACTTGAGGTCAGGAGTTCAAAACCAGCCTGTCCAACATGGTGAAACCCTGTCTCTACTAAAAATACAAAAACAAACAAACAAGAAAAACAAAAAAACAAAATTAGCTGGTCATGGTGGTGGGTGCCTGTAATCCCAGCTACTTGGGAGGCTGAATCACTTGAGCTCAGGAGGCTGTAGTGAGCAGAGACCATGCCACGGCACTCCAGCCTGGCTGGTGTTGAGCCAGAAGGAGATGTTTTGTTTGAGGCTGAGGTGGGGGCTCTTCAGAGCCTCTGTGAGAAGGAGGCCCTAATCCATGGCGGCGGACAGAGTTGCAGCTTTCTGCCCCTTTGCCCTTTGGTCTGGACCCACAGGTGAACTGTACCAGCCTCGATCCCAAGCACACACTCTGGAGACCCTCACATCTCACGGTTCCATGTGAGCAAATGGACTGAGAAAGCTGTGTGGCCTGAGAAAAGGCAACCCCATGGCCTGGCTCTCACACAGTAGTTTGCCTTTTTGTTTG